GGGGGGCACCTGGGAGTCATGGGGGGCAGCCTGGAGTCATGGGGGGCATCTGGGGGTCATGGGGGGGAAGACTGGGGTCATGAGGGGCAGACTGGGGTATAGGGGGCACCCGGGGGTCATGGGGGGCACCCGGGGGTCGGGGCAGGGACATGGGAACCACGGGGATGTCACCACTACCTGCACCCCAGGCCCACGCCTGCTCCCTGATGGGGCCTCCTTCTATGCAAGTGCCTGATGGCGTCCCCAGCACAGCAGGTCCCCGAGCTCTGGGTTCAGTCCTGGCTCTGTCGGCCGCCAGGGTGCCCCCCGGCCTCAGCCTTCCCATCTCTAAGTGGGGACAGCAGGTCCGACCTCCCGGGCCATAAATACCGGACGCCTCAGTGCACGTATGTACTTTGCACGGGCCGGGGGCAAGTCCGTGCCAGTTGCCACAAGCTGAAGCTACCTGGGGGTCGGACGGGGATCCTGCCCTGTTCTGAGGCCCTGTTCAAAGGCCTGCAGGGCGCCTGCAGCCCGGGGCCCCCCGCGAAAGACCACCCGTTTGTTCGTCCCACACACGTCAGGGAGCCGCTCGGGCCACGCGAGGCCTGGACGCTGAGCGCAGGGAGACGAGCAGGACAGAAAGAGCCATCCCGTGGGGTCCTGGGGCCGGGGAGCCCCACGTTTCTGGCTCCGTCCCCGGGGCGCCCTGGGCCCGGCTCTGGGGGGCAGACTCACCGTACAGCTGCCAGACGCGCACCCTGTCCTCGTAGGGGAGCCTGTAGTGTAGAGGGTCGCCCACGGGGCCCTGGTAGTACGGCTGCATGATGGAGCTCGTGGCTGCCACGTGGTTCAGCCCAATGGCGTGGCCAAACTCATGGACGGCCACCGCGAACAGGTCCATATCGTGGGTGTCTGGGAACACGGGGAGCCGGGGGGTCAGGGGAGGGACGGCCAGGGTGACCGGAGGGGGCTGGCTCGCGTGCGCAGGCCGGGCACCCGCGGGGAGGGGGTGTGAGGCGACGGGCGTTCCCATCACGCTGGAGGCCCAGGTCCTCGACGGGCCGGTTCCGTGCAGTTAGTGCCGAGGCCCCAGCGGGGGTGGGGGTGGGGGTGGGTGTCACTGCTGGTCCCTGAGGCCCGAGTGGGAGGGGGGCCCCCGGGACCTGTGGCCTCAGCCCCACGCACCTGGGGAGCGGAAGGCCCAGGACTCATCGTCATCGAAGTGGGCGTCCCCCGCGGAGAGCTGGTCGCCGGGGAGGAAGGCGTGGGCCACCGCGCCACCCGGGCCGTCGAAGGGGTAGGCGTCGTTGTGGTCGGCCTTGGAGAAGTCGATCTGGATGTCCGCGGCACTGCCCGCCACCTCGTGGAAGTTGAGGGGTGTGATGTCGCTCCAGACTTTGAGGGCGTAGTGCATGAGGGCGCGCACGGTGTCCCGGCCCAGGGGCGAGTCCCGCGGGAACGTGCGGACCCTAGGACGGGCGGGGTCAGAGCCTGGGGTCTGGCCGGCCGGCGCCCCCTCCCCAGGGTTACCCAGCCCGCCGGGGACCGTATCTGGAAACAGGGTTTTGCAGACGATGTTAAGGTAAAGGTTGAGACAAGGCCACACAGGCAGGCGGGGCGGTGGCCGCGTGGGGGGAGGGGAGGCTGGGACCACGGCCTCCAGCGCTGAGGACCGCCCCCCCCCCCCCCCCCCGTCTTGCTGGGCCGGGCCGTGGGCGCTGGTTTAGGCGGGCCCCCAGGAAAGGGGACCAGGACGGTCCCGTCCGGGCAGAGCCGCCCCCCTCCCCACCCCCCGCCCCCCGCCCACCTCCACGACAGGCTCCTCCTGTTCCACGTGGTGGGAGCCGGAGCCTGGCGCCTCCTTCGGGCCGGGGCCGCAGCTGGGAGGTCGGGGAGGGAACACCGAGGGGTTTTCATCAGCGCCAGGGTGGCCTCGTCTGTGGGGGAGGGTGGGGTCAAGTCCCCTAGAGGTGGCACCGGGCTCAGGCCCCACGCCCTGCTCCCCCGGGGACCGGGTCGGGTGGGGGCGGGGCCTCACTGCCAGGCACGCGTGCAGGACCAGGACAGGGGTCGCTCGGAGCACGTGTGAACTACGACAGGGCCTGGACCGGTCAGGTCGGCCACTGGCGGGGCCCTGGCCAGGCGGGCACGGCTCGGCCCCGATCTGCCGGTCCGATATCCCGGGACCCACACCTGACCGGCTCTGTGGTGACACGGGCGTGTCCACCTCTGCAGAGGCCCGGGGACAGCTGTGATCTGTCAGCCCCCAGGAGGGCCTCCACAAAACCGGAATGTGCCCCCAACGTGTGAAAAGCGGGGCGCTCACATAACCACCCCAGGTTTCTGGTTTCCCGTGGAAAGCTGGCGGTTTCGGCAGCACAGATCCGCTGCTTCCAGGGGACAAGATTCAGTGGGGACCAAGGGTGGGCTTAAGTGCAGACCGCGTAGTGGGGGAGGTGGGTCTGGGTGCAACGGACACACACGCGCCCATCACTGTGCCCACATCCAGGGGCGGGGTGTGCTGACAGGGTCCCACGTGGCAAGAATCCTTGGTCCTGCCCCCAGAGACAGCGGGGACCCGTCCCTAACCACAGCCCCACAAAGGGCCCCCGGAGCGGGGGAGTTAGGGGAAACCAGGCTCCTGGAGCGCCCATCCCCCGCGCCCCTAGAGGACTGACCTAGGATGCCGGTGGTCTCCAGGCCCCCGAACCGCTGCATGGCGGCGATGGCCTTGGACACCTCCTCCTGTGTCTGCAGCTGGCCTGTTGTGGGGTCGGCTGGGGGCAGGTAGCCAAATCTGCTCAGCCACTCCTGAGAGGAGAGAGCAGGGTGAGCGGCGGAGTGGGTGGGGGGAGGGCTCAGCCCCACAAGAAGAGCTATGGGCCCTTGAGGTGAGGGGCAGGCCTCTCCCAGCCCTGATCAACACCACCCTGACCCCAGCCCCCCATTAGCCCACAAGGCACCTCGTGTTCCTTCTTTAAGTTACTTTACGGGCCGATGCCGGAGAAGCGCCTGAATAAACCTGATGCCTCTTAGAAGGGGTGAGCTTGAGCAGTGCACAACCTGTACGACTGCTCACAGCAGCCTGCCCCACCTCACTTCTCTTGAGCCAGGAGATGCCCAGGGGACACTTAAGAAAGTGAAATTCTACAAAGGTTACTACATGTGGCATGGGCCAAATTCAGGCCCTTGGGAGGCAAGAGTCGAAGACCTAAGGTCTGAAACCCACACTGAGAAGAGCATAGCCTCAGGCTCCGGTGTTAGGACTCTGGTCACGAGCTGCACATTCACAGCATGTAAGAGCCCAGACTCTGAGGCCACTTGCTGTGCATTTGCACTCAAGCCCTCTGGGCTGATTCCCCGCCTGGGAATGTGAGCACAGAATGAGTCAGAGTGTGGAAAATGCCCCGTCAGCACCTGACACAGGTGTTGGATGAAGCACGCCGTGGCGGCACCGTCAGGGGACGGCTCTGCCCGAAAGCGCCCTGGTCGGGGTTCCCTGAGCCAAGCAGGAGGCAGGAAGCAAGGCGACCCTTCAGCACGGACACAAGTACAGCCCCGTCTCAAGCCCCAGTCACCTCTACCATCCGTGCGGGGCCCTAGGAGACAGGGAGGCGCTGCTGCCCTTGTTCGGGGGGAGTCCCCCCTTGGGGTTCAGTGTCTTGAACAGCCAACTGGTGCTCATGCCCACTTCCTGGGCTGTGTGACAATCCCACGATAGCGCCTGGGCCATGTGGACACTGGGGGGACTCGCCAGGCAGGGGGACGGGGGAACCCAGCGGCGGGTGGAAGGCAAGGTCCGGGATTCCTGAGCCCTGCCCTTCCCAGGCCTGTGGCTCCAAGATACCCGCTTACAGGCTTGTTTGCGTTTTGGTAGATGTTTAAAAAACCCTCTCGATTCGTTTATGCTACTGCAGGCCCCTCGGAAGCGTCTGAGTTTGTAGCCCTGGCCAGGAGGCTCCCTGCTCAGAGGGGGGGCCTAGCTCAGTGGAAGGGGGTCCACCCTCCTGGAGTTCCCAGGGGCTTCAATTGACCAGAAGCTGCCACCTTGATGATTTGCATACAATTTGCATACACCTGCAGAGAACCAGCTAGATTCCTCCCTTTCCAGGAAACACAGGGTCTTTCCCAAGGTTTCTCTGTTCCTTCCTCCCCCCCAAACCCTTACTGGCCCAGAGCCCCTGGTCCTAACTGGAGGCCCGCAAGAGTGTGTGCAAAACTGGGGCCCCTCTGAGGTGGTTGGACACGGCTGAGTAGCACCAGGAGCGACTCGGTCCTTGATGAACAGCAATCAAGACACCTTCCCAAGTGGACGCGCCTCATTAGACGGCCCCTTCTCCCCGGGGGCCTGGGAGTGACACCCTGTGCTCAAAGGAGGTGGCCCCGGCTGCGACAGGGCCACCTCCCCATCCTGGGCTGTGCCGTCCTCAGGGTTAAGACCTTTGCCGTCACCGAGCACCCCCTTCCTCTGGGAGGACCCCCCTTCACATCACTGCAAACACACTGAAGCTCATCAGCTGGGCCACCAGCGGGATGAGCATGTCCTGTGCCTGGTCCCTGTCCCGGCACTGGAGCGACCCGAGACAGCCTCAGGCACTAAACACCTGTATTCGTGGCTACACACGTTTTCGGGAAAAGATTCGAAGACTATTGAAAGTTTTGACTCTGCCGTTCTCTTTCCGAACGTCCGAAAACACACACGTGCATTTCAGAGGCCTCTGTTAAGACTCCAGGCCTGAGCTACGGAACCCCAGGGCCTCAGGGCTACAGCAGCCCCCTTGCTCAGCACCACGAGGCTGCCTCCTCTAGGAAGCCCTCTGGAGTTCCCTCAGATGTCCAGGATGCCAGACGAGGGTGCCGGCAACCCCCCTCCTCACCAGGGAAGGGCCCACCCAAGCGGGTGGGGGATGGGGCGCTCTGGGAGAAGAACCCCCTTCCCCAGCTGTCTGGCCCGGGGGATAACAGCTGGGTGTGGGCACTGAGCTGTGCCCCACCCCCACAGGCACCGAGCTTCCCCGAGGGGCACTGCCCTGCCCCAGGGAGCCTGGCCAGGAGACCACATGCGTTTCCAGGCTTCCGAGGCCTCAAGAGCCCTTCAGGTGGTTTTGGAATGTTTGCCAACGCTGGAAAGCAGCTTTTAGCCTCAGGTCTGAGGGGCCGCCTGTGCTAACTTGCAGAACCACGAGGGCAGCTGAGTGCAGGCGCTGGCCGCCCCTACCAGCCTGGGCCCTGGGAACACTGCAGCTCGAGACCCCGTCAGCGGCCAGGCCAGAGGAACGGGGCCAAGGCCCCCTCCCTCGCAGGTGTGGGCTGGGGGTGGGGGTCTGCACCCTCAATCTGACTTCCCACCCCCCCCCCCCAGTGTGGACCCCTCCCCCTGACCTTCGCATCACGAGGCAGCCCCCTCTCAAGGCCCCAGCTGTCCCCTCCCCACGGCCCCTGCCATCTGTTGTGGGGGGGGGGGGTGGATGTGGGCAGCGGGGAGCTCTCGGTGGCCACAGGGAGCGAGGGGGGCTGGCGGGTGGAAGTGCCTGGAACCGGAAGGCCCCATCCCCCTGGGGAGGCGCCAGGACCACAGCGCGCCCCCCCTCCACCGGCCAGCTCATCTCCACCTCCGGGAAAACAGGCAAAGTCCCAAACAGCCAAACGGCCAGCCCCGCCCCGGCAGCACTACCTTCTGAAGTGGGAGCTGAGAACCGGCCCGAGGGCGGGGGGGGGGGGGGGGGGGGGG